GCATAAACCTTTTTTAATAATATTTTCCATAATTTTATATTCCCAATTCAAATATTGATCACTTCACAAAATAAATAGTAGACCTAAAAGTTCAAGTTTTGATGGAAGGATCTCGAATAGAATTGTCTGTATAACGCAATACATAAAATAATATAAATAATGTTAAATTTCTTATATGCTTTTTAATTTTATTTTTATATTAATATATATACTTACATTATTTTTTTGTCTCTTTTTAAGACTAAAAATACCTCTATTTATTTATGAAAATAAAATTTGCAAATGCCACCGTCTGAAAAAGCCCTAAGGTTACACCCACGTTCATGTAAGTATAAATTTAGTTCGCAAAAACCGGACAATTTATAACGCTGTTACATAGGAGATGTGCGTCTAGAGTAAACTTTACAAGAATTAATATGAAATTCCTCTTTTAGAGTACATATTTGCAGACGAATATCTCGATATTACGATCCTTTCTAAAATATTTTTGCTAGTACGTTGGTAGTCGAGTATTATTATAGAACATTGTAGGTAATAAAATAGTATATATCCATTATATATAATAGATATTATATATATGAAATGGTTTAAAACCAGGCTGACGTTGTTTAATAAAATCTGTGGTTTAGTGTAAACATATTAGATTGATAATGGACGAGATCGTGTCTGCATATTTAGTATAGATTTATTTCACACTAAGCAGTTTTTTGTTCTACAAAGAAAAATAGCAGCTTCAATTGTGTGGGACCAACATTATACTCTAATTTTGGTCCCACACAATTGAATTCTAAACAATCCTAAACTAGAGTTTTCGTCCAGTAAATCCACCAGAAAATAGAGGTAACTAATAAAGGGAGTTAATAAGTATAGAAATACTATATAAAAGTATTTTGTTTAGGTACCTCTTTCCTTCATGAACTTCTGATACTAAAACAAATGTGCTTACATGGCCATTTCGGATTGTTGGCGTTTTATTATGTTTGGCTTCGGTAAGACATGTCAGTGCACAATACATGGAAGTATAATATCTTAACTGTCAGGAATGGCCACCCATGAGGTAGGTATGTTCTGGGCATCACAGTGTATTTATTGGTATCCATGGTATTAGTTAATTTTAAACTTTCGCGTTTTTTACACATATTTTTTAAATATTGGCAATATAAAAGTAGGTACTATTTACCTGTAAAAGTTTTTTCATCGCGTTAAGTCCCGATTGTGTATTTAATAATATGTCCATAGTATTGTTTAAGTTATTATTTGCGGTGATGCTGGACCATCAGCTTGTTTACAGTTACTCATTCTATAAGAAGCTTACATTTTGTATATTTTTTATATATATTTCTGTATATATTTCTAAATAAATATAAATTAAATATTTGATAAATATGGAAGTTTTGCATTAATATCATGTAAAATTTTTCATAAGTTGCTCTGTTTAAATACAAATATTTATATGGATACATGTTTGAAATTCCGCTTTCATTTCTGTATTTTACAACAAAGCGGTCTTATATTAATCTGTGTATATTTCAGAAATATATGTAGCATGCTTACGGTATATTAAGAATGACAAACGTGATTCAAGTTCCTGTATTTAAATTACATTGTTTCGTGTAAAGAAATGCTGCAATTAGTATTTACAATCTTTTGAACACTTTAGTACTCATCATCATTTTGCGAAAGATATAGTTTAGATTGGAGATGAATTGATGGAGTCAAATAATATATTTATTTTTCTTTTAATGAAATTAAGAAGTCGCTGTAACAGTGCCAAACTGTTTTAAATACACTACAGGGACTTAACGTGACGAGATAGTGCTATCCACGTCATAAAGTTGGCTATAAAATTAAATATCTAGGTACTATTTATCTGAAATTGTGTCCCGTTAAGTTCCGATATTTTATTTAAAATATGTGTTAACAACGCGAAAGATAATTGATATTATTAGAAAATTTCTTGTATTCGCCCACACATTTTTATAATAAGAAACTGGTCGATTTTCATTGTTAAGGATGTCTTCTTCCCAAATTGTTATTTTATTTATTTATTTTATACTTTATTGTGTATACTCGTAATACATAAAAGCATGGAAAAGGTAAGCAAATGTATAGGGGCGTGATTAATTCTACAAGTTTTCTTCCAGTAAACCCAAAGTGGAAATGAGCATCAATATCAGCGATGTTGTTAGGGGATATTTTACGTTAATATTCCCTAACAACATCGCTTAACAACATTCGTTAATTCACCAGAGGGAGACTTTGTACAAAAGTCGATTGCTTGGGTACCTCTGTCCCATTCGTGTTTCAACCGTGAAGCAGTTGTGTCTGCATGGCTGTGTTTCAGTTTGAAAGGTTTGGATATGGCGTGAATTTACTGGGTACGGAGGAATAACACCTGAGTCCTCAGGAATGGCACCGCATGGGGGGTATCATGGGCGAACCAGTATACTCTGTTATGTCCATGGTACTGCTCATGTCTATAGGCGACGGTTATCACTTTCCATCAGGTGGGCCGTCAGCTTGTTTGTCATTCTAACTTGTATAAAAAAAAATTACGTTAATATAGTTAGGTATAGAATAAAGAAAGAAAACAGTATTACGGTCAAATAAGATTTTATACGTTTCAGTAACCAAAGCAATTCAGTTTATGTTCCGTATCAATTCGTTACTAGTATGTAATTTTGCGAGTAACTCCACGTCACAGTACGGTGCGCTCCGCAAAGTTATTGTAGTGAAACACAACTTGCTAGCTCAATACTGTTTATTGTATATCGAAGGTACTAATATAAAAACCTCATCTTTCCTACCCACATAATTATACTACATCTTTCCCCTTATGACATATAACATTATATATATGTATTTATAAATAGTAAGTAAGTATAAAGGTAAAAATATAACAAATATCTGTTGAATTCAGTATATAAGTGTAAACTAATATAATAAGTATAATTTACAACATTAACAAAAACCTATATATATATATATATATATATATATATATATATATATATATATATATATATATATATATATATATATATATATATATATATATATATATATATATATATGTACTCACTACATTAATGTTAATACAATAATACTATTTATCTACCTACTCATCATGAAACTAATTACAAATTAAAAGAATAACAGTATCAACACAAAATTAATTTAAAACACTACTTGTTTAATTTGATAGTTTTTAGTCGGTTTAATAATAAATATACATAATATTATGTATATTTACTTTAACGATTTATTTACTATATGGAGAACATAGCTACCATATTGGAATACATAATTTGTGATTACATTTTATTTGCATTAAAACCTGTTTTTTTTTTTCCTAATAGTTACAAATTGCGCATCGTTAGTGCTGGGTAATTCGTATGTACGTATATGATTAGATATGCCTGTCTGTATGGCGTTTTCTTTTGCACAAGTACTCGCCTCTGCGTCACAGCCTGTGGTGCTGGATGCAGGAGTCCCTGGCCTTTCTACTGTTTTATTTGTACCTGTGACTGTAGCTTGTGCTCCCTCATTACCTTTGCGCCGCCTGCAAACTATATGACGACGATTACGTCTAAATATACGTCCAGTCTCGTCTTCTAAAATGTACGACCTTGGCTCCTTTGCTTGTTGCACCACCTTCATTAAACGACGTTGACCGCCATCATTAATGACCACCTTATCATTTTGATCCAAGCTGGGGTAGACTTTGTGTTTTGCTTGTCTATCATAGATGGATTTTTGTCTTGTCTGTTTGTTTAATAACTTATCATAATTAAGCTTGTTGTCCACTTTGTCAGCTAATAACGGCTCGTAAATCGGTAGACGGGTATTTAAACGTCTTCCCATCAAAATTTGTGCAGGCGAATCCACACCATCCCTAGGTGTAGATCTTAAATTTAATAAACTTAAATGGAAATCATGTCCCGAATCTTCACATTTTTTTAGCATATTTTTTACGGTACGTATCGTGCGCTCGCTTTTCCCGTTAGATTGTGCATATAACGGAGATGAAGTAACATGCTCAATTTCCCAATTGAAAAGAAATTGTTTAAATTGTTTTGAAGTGTACGCCGGTCCGTTGTCTGTTATTAACATTTTTGGTATACCATATCTACAAAATTGCTCTTTCATTGCTCCAATAACACATGAGCTTCCAATTGAATTTATTCTATTAACTTCTACATAATTTGAAAAATAATCCACTAATATAAGGTAATATTTTTTTTTATATTCAAAGATATCCGACCCTAACTTATTCCACGGTAAATTTGGAATTGAATGCGGTATCATCGGTTCTCGGATCGGCCGCGGTGCATGCAGCGCACACGCAGCACAACTGCGTACGACACTCTCTACGTCACGCGACATGCCCGGCCAAAACATCACCTCCCGTGCGCGCCGTTTGCACCGGTCTATGCCTAAATGTCCTTCATGGACACGACGCAACATATCCTCCCGCAAAGTACTCGGAATGTATAACCGATTATCTTTAAGGATCAGGTTTTCTACATATTGTAAAGTATCCCTATAAGACCACAATAGACGTACTTCTGGATTCACGTTGTGTCTACTTCGAGGCCATCCATTACTAATATAATTTATTAATATTTGCGCTACTCTGTCATTTTTTAATTGCTCTTTTATTAAATCCAGTTTTTTATCACTGTATTGTAAATGCTCTAACATAAAACAGGTTTGTGCTTCTAATTCTTCATTGATCCGTTCATGCATCAGTATAGGTAATGGGGCGCGCGACAAAGTGTCCGCTATGTACATGAATTTGCCGGGCGTATAAACCACTTTGAAGTCATAACTTTGGATGCGTAGCATCATACGTTGCAGTCGCGCCGGCACAGCTGAGAGCGATTTTTTAAATATAGATTCTAGTGGTTTATGATCCGTCTGTATTGTTACATCGTTTCTACCGAATATGTACTGATGAAAACGTTCGCAAGCAAAGACAATCGCCAGCATTTCTTTTTCTATTTGCGCATAACGACGTTGTATATCGGTAAGTGTAGGGAAGCGAACTCGACCGGCCGCCCTGCCTGTAACACCACGCCGCCTAGTGCCTCCGCGCTCGCGTCCACTGATACCACTATAGGTAGTCGGTTCGAATACAGTGCGAGGACGGGAGCTGATGTAATAAGACATTTTAATTTATTTACAGCATTAGTATGCTCGGGTCCCCATACCCATTCCACATCTTTTTTTAGAAGCGCTCGTAACACTACTACATTTTCGGAATAGTTTGGAATAAATTTAGAAAGATAGTTTACCATACCTAGAAACCTTTCTAGGCCCTTTCTGTCTTTAGGTATTGGCATATCGACTACGGCTTTGACCTTAGCACTGTCGGGCCGCATGCCTCGCTCATCAAAAACATGTCCCAAATATGTAACCTCTTTTACATTAAATTTACATTTTTCTTTATTAAAACGAATGCCTATCTCTTTGGCTCTCTGGAGTAGCTTTTCTAATCTAGCATCATGTTCCTGTTTACTTGATCCCCAAACTACAATGTCATCGATAAATGATTCAGTACCTTCTATATCCTCAAGGTACTGTCTCATTAAACCATGAAACATTTCCGGCGCACAATTAATTCCATAGGGAAGTCTTAAAAATTGATACCTACCATAAGGGGTGCTGAAGGTACAGAGGTCAGCACTAGCCTCGTCCAGTTCCAGCATCCAAAAACCACAGCGTGCGTCCAACACGCTGAAGTGCGTGGCGCCGCGCAGGCGCGCGGCCACCTCCGTCACTGTCGGTAGCGAGTAGTGTGCGCGCTGCACCGCCCTGTTCAGGTCACGCGGATCTAAGCATATACGGATATCACCATTTTTTTTAGCAGCTATAACGATGGCATTCACCCATTCAGTAGGGTAACTCACCTTCCTGACAACTCCTAACTTTTCCATTCTTTTTAATTCTGTGTACAATTTATCTCTCATACCTAGAGGGATCCTACGTGTTGGACAGATAACGGGGGCAACACTTTTATTCACAACAATTTTGTGTTTGCCCGGTAGTTTGCCGAGACCGTGAAATAAATCCGAGTAGTTGTCAATATTTAAGGTATTTACTCTTTGGATCGCTCCTATTTGTAAACATGCATTCAATCCAAGAATGTTTTGACACTTCATATCTGCTATAACAAATTTTAAATTATGTACTTTATTTCTAAAACTAATTTTTAAATTGCAACTTCCAATGACAGGAACCGAGTTTCCCGTGTAGGACAACACTTTTTTATTGTATGGCATAAGACTATTCGGATTTATTCCTAATCGGTCAAAATCTATCTTTGTTAACACATTTAACATTGCCCCTGTGTCTAATTTAAAATTGATACGTTTACCACTAAAGTCTATTATTTCTATCCATTCCTTGGGTAAATATTTTTTACTTTTACCCATATTTACCATATTTATGTATAACACATCCTCACTAGAATCCGACAACGAAGTACTCACGGTATGCACTCTTTTGCCAAGCACTCTATTTGAACACACTCGAGCAAAATGACCTTGACCGTTGCACACGAAACACGTAGACCTAAACGCTGAGCACCGTTGCGCCCCCTCACAGTAGGTATTTCCACAACGCCTACAAGGAGTGTCGCGTTGCTCACGCGGTAGGCGCTGCTCGCTGCGCCCGCCGCGGCGGCCGCGCTGGCGTCGCCGGCCACCGCTCGGGCCCGCGCCGCCGCCTCGGGGCGCGCCGTCACCGTACACTGCATCCACATGAGTACCCGACGACGTCGCCTCCTCTATCTGTCTACGCTCCTCTCTAGACATCTCGGCCGCTTCACAAATTTGCACCGCTTTCGCGAGGGTCAAGTCCTCCGCCCGTAGTAATCTATCACGCACGACGTTATCCAATATTCCACAAACTATTCTATCTCTCAGTAAACCGTCCACTAGGTGTTCGAATTCACACCCTTGACTCAGTAATTTTAATGCCGTCACATACTGATTAATTGTTTCCCCAGCGACTTGATTTCTTGTAAAAAATTTAAACCTTAGAGATGTAACATTCACTTTCGTTCCGAAGTGGGTATCAAATTTTTTTTTTAAACACTCAATGTCATCGGGATTTTCCTCTTTTGAATACGAAAACGTAGAATAGACTTCATAGCCCTCTGCTCCAATGAGATTCACTAGCAAGCTCGCCTGTACCTCTTTAGATTCTTTATTGACGCCTGACGCTTTTAAAAACATGGCAAACTGTTGCCACCATTTCCGCCACGTTTCTGCTCGGACGGCAGGATTACCATCCACACGTAATTCTGAAGGAGGACGCGCGTGTTCCATTTTCCAGATATAACAATATGTCTACGGACACTGAACTTGACTTTCTTCACACCGGTTTTTAATTATAATACTGTAAACGCATTTATTTGATCGGACCGCTGCCACCATGTAGTGAAACACAACTTGCTAGCTCAATACTGTTTATTGTATATCGAAGGTACTAATATAAAAACCTCATCTTTCCTACCCACATAATTATACTACAGTTATGTGACAAGCGGGTGACACTGTTTTCTTGTGTGTGTGTAGGTAATTGAATATGTTTTGTCAGGCTTAGGATGAACACGTAAGGGAAAATCAATTACAGCATATATATGTTACTAGTGTTTACCCTCGACTTCGTTCCCTTGACCGGAATAATACCAGAGGGAGACTGTACAAAAGTCGATTGCTTGGGTAACTCTGTCCCATTCGTGTTTCAACCGTGAAACATTTGTGTTTGCATGGCTGTGTTTCAGTTTGAATGGTGGGATATGGCGTGAATTTACTGGGTACGGAGGAGTAACACCTGAGTCCTCAGGAATGGCAACGCATGGGGGGTATCATGGGCGAAACAGTATACTCTGTTATGTCCATGGTACTGCTCATGTCTATAGGCGACGGTTATAATTTTCCATCAGGAGGGCCGTCAGCTTGTTTGCCATTCTAAGTTGTATAAAAAAGAAAATGTTGAATGATTACAATAAAAAGAAGCATGGGACTTTCTCCATACCAAACAGTAGGTGTATGATAAGTTTCATGACAACTGAATGAGCCGTTGAGGTGGCAAAGAGTAAGAATCAAACAAAATTGGTCATTTTTTAAATTTAGTTATTGCCTGCACCTGTTAAAGAATGGTATATAAATATATTATTTATTATGAGGTAAAATCACTCTGAATTTATAATATACAAATTACCTACTGGTTTCCAGTATTCACATGAACATTTTATATACAATTAAACCATACCATATCATTAACAATATATGAAATTAAAATTCTTTAATTGTACAATTTTTTATGCAATTTAGAATGGCAAATAAGCTGACAGCCCACCTGATGGAAAGTGGTAACCATCGCCTATAGACATGAATAAAACTATGGACATTACAGAGTATATCGTTTCTCCTATGATACCTCCTATGCGTTGCCATTCTTAAGGACTAAAGTTTTAATTCCTCTGTACCTTATAAATTCACTATCATATCCTATCCTTCAAACTTAAACACAGCTATGCAAACAACTGCTTCATGGTAGAAACACGAATGGGACAGAGGTATCCAAGCTAACGACAAAGTCTCCCTCTGGTATAAATAAACGTTACAATCTTCGTAATAATTATTTGACTATACAGGAAACTGTAATACTAAAGTCTACAAAGTAGTTACAAAGCTTTAAGCACGTATGTGAGGCATGCATTAATCTTTGTTTTATACTCACGTATTTACGTAAGGCTAAATAAATATAAACCAAATAATCAACTGAGACTAGCACATCTGTTAACTGAAGTAGTGAGATGCAGTGAGCTACTTTCTGTCGGTTGTTGATGGGATTGAGGTAAATAAGAGTTAGTATTTATCTACAGTGTATGTACTATTTATTTTATGTGTTATTCCAAAAAACCTTAACATTTTCATTAGTACAAGCATTTAATATGTTTTCTAAAGACTTGTACTTAAATAAAGTACCGTATTTTATACGGACATATCCTCTTTTTAAAACAAAGAATATTCGTATATTATAATTAAAAACAAATAAACTCCCTGCCGTATCAAGAGTGAACAAGTATAGTAAACCACGTGGCCATTATATAAAATATATCACAATTATTGTTGATGGAAGTCCTAAAGAAGCTGTAGTTAAATAAGTGTGAATGGATTAACAGAAGTTGGTTATTTATGTTATATTATTTGTTATATATCAAATACAAAGTAAAATAAGTAAATATATGATTTTATAGTATGATATCTAAAATAATTGAACTAAGTAAACTTGTGCTTCATTTCTATTTATTACTAAGAGGCTTACAACCTTTATATTGCTAAAGAATATATATCATATACCATGTAAAGTTACAATTACGTAATTAAATTACTATATAAATCTATTATCCTACAGTTATTTATCATTAATTTGATACGTGCGTAATGGGATTGCATACGTTCATAGGTTACGGAAACCGCTTACCATCAGGTGAGTCTTATGCCTATTTGCCATCTTAGTGGTATAAAACCATGAAAGTAAAATATCTCTCCAGATAATACACTGAGCGCGTGGGTATTGTGGCATGCAATATTATGGATTCTATTATAAATGAAATGTACGTCGAGAGTTGTCCCTTATCGGATTTACAAGTCTGGGCTTATAAACCAAACTAAAAGTCTGCGCAGGCAATAAATATTTGATAATAATATTTGATGAAATCCAAAATCCGTTTAGTAGTTTTAATACCGCAAAATATATTTGTAAAGAGAGAAATAGACAACTTTTGAAGATACAAATACATTTATTTAATTCAAAACACCTTGATTTGTTTTAACCTTTGCAGAGGTAGCTTATTAGTTCCCTTTGATGCCGGCATTGGGTTATACAGAACAAACACCAAGTTTTATTGAAAAGCTTACGGTTGATATTTGGCTCGTTCAAGTTAGTTTATTAGAGGCAAAAGCGAATTCCATCAAAGTTAAATTATGTCAGCAGACATCAGGATACTTGGGAGGAGTTACAAATCGGTCCTTACTGAAGCGAAAGTCGGTTCAATGCAAGTTGCTGATTCGGTGGTTAATGTTTTAATTAAACAAGAGTAAAACATTGTTAATGTAACGTATAATATATTCATATTTACTTAAGCCAACTATCATGAATATCGGGATTGTTTAGTTTAATAGCACAACTTCTAATTGATTCGATCAAAATACTTAGTAAATTCAAATTTTTATGCAACTTAGACTGGCCTATAGTCCTATATAGACCATTGCCTATAGTCATGTATCATAAACATGACTCTGCCGCCTATAATACTCTTTATACGTTGTCATTCTTAAGGATTGAGGTGCTATGCCTCTGTACCTTGTAATTTTACTGCCATATTTCAGCCTATAAATTGTAACACAGCCATACAAATACAGCTGTTTTACGGCAAAAACACAAGTAAGATTAAGGGACCGAGATGCTAAGATTCAACTATCTCATACTATAGGTATTTCGAGAAACTACTTCTTAGTGGAAAGTTAGCTTTTAAAAGAAATCTGCATTCAACGTTTTTAAAAAGGACGTAGGTAATAATTACCTTTTACCAAGCTAGATGGCTGCTTGATAATTTGGTAATTTAATTTTAAATGGAGTTTCCTTTCTCTTTTACTGGTACACTGTGGTTTTTTTAATAGGATTAAAATAGAATGTCCGTCTGCTCTATTGGTATACTCTGGCGGGGTACCCGTGAGTGATGATATATGAGGCTGAAGTCAGCCCAGCTGTAAGATTACCTACAGTTTATACGCAGGATAAGTTGTTTGGTTAAAGGTTCAATTTTGAGTTCACGAGTTCCTTTGCATTGGTATATTTTGCTTTATCTTTATCTGCTTACTGGTAGTCAATCCTACTTCAAATGAAATGATAGAAGCTTTCTAATGGTGTGAAAATGTAGGATAAAATACTAAGCTCATCGGTCGCTGCTACGACACGACCGTTCTTTCGTCGAGAGAGGCCGGTGGCACTCTGTCCTAATTAAATAATACGTAATACAATATTAAAACGATATTATTTTTTTAGATAAATGAAGATGGAATGATGCACTCGCCTATGGTAATTATGCTCATTAATAACCCTACTAGCTTTTAGCCGCGAATTCGTTTGTGTGACTAGGATGTCTTTATTGACCTGAACAAAAAGGAGTCTATATATATTTTTTTTTATTGTACAATACGTATATTTATATCAAATTTCATATTGATAGCTTAAGTTATTAAGACGCTAAAAGATAAGAAACAAGCAAATAAACAAACTGACATTTACATTACGCGCATAATATTATATTAGCAAGGGCATCCTATCAGGTTAAAACCCAGCTGTTTTCCTGGAAAATATCGTGGTAATCCCCAATGAATTTGTCACGATAGATCAACTGACCTGAAATGAAGTCGGTATACTTGTATCATTCCTAATTGTAAAGTACCTTACTAGCGTAAACCAATAGCACTATATAATATGTTTTTGTTCATTAAAAAACCCGTAAGAGACCAGATATACACCAGATTTCGCCAGAAATAGTTTAGAGATGGGGAGTTTGAATTTTGCGAATTCGAATGGTCAACACTAGGCTGATGCCTCGTTTAGAGGTGAAACACATGTCGCAACATGTGCGTAGACTTAATAAAGATCAGAGATTGATAACTGATAGGGAACTCCATACAACTTCTTCTAATAAAAAAGTACTCAATCCTCAAATGTTGGCCGTCGCACACATGCTAAAGGTAGTGGAATTAAACAAAATAATTCTCAAGTAATTAACGAATTCTGTCAGAGGGCTATATATTTTTACCCACGTATAATTCCCGAAACTCGAATTTATAGAAATATTTTAACTTTTTATATACGAAACCTTATAAAAAAGTAAGTATATGGTTAGACGAATGTTAATATTATAATACAGAAATTGTTTATTTAAGTACTTATTAACCTTAGGTTCACGAAGTCACTCCCAAACAATAAAGCGAAAGTAAATTACGTGGACGCTTACGACAAAAGTATTGACGCAGAGTTCCCTCCCTCCATAAATCATAGTTGACAGAGTAAATGGGAAAAAATATTGCCCCATTAAATTTAAAAGATTCCTTGTGGCGGTACTAATCTGCGCAGTCCGTACTGAATAGAAAAATAAAAATAATTACTTGCCCGGCATAAATTCGAGCACTTTGGGAAATGCTTGACATTTATTATGCGCTGGTGTTGTTTTTTTTATACAATTAGAGAAGTTCAGCGTGGCTGACTGATTTTTAATTAAAACTAACAGCTCACCCCGACTTCGCTCGGATATATTAATGAAGAAAATGAGAGCAAATATTTCACAGATATTCTTTCGTATAAAGCTTGTTCTGACAATCACAAACATAACAAAAAAAAAAAAAACTAGCAAATAAGAGTAGCCGTTTTTTAACTTTGTTAGCCTTTTAAGTGTAAAAATTAATAAAACAAGCTCTTCACGTTTATTTATTATTATATTTATTTATTTCACATTTATGAGTTTCTATAATTTATAACTATTATATATATATTTATTCTTATCTTCATTATTATGATAGCTGACTCGGCAAACTCGTTCTTTCGTCCCCTGTCGTCACTTACTAGGTTCATTTTTTAATCGGAATAAAAATTGTTTTATTCTTCAAGTTGGGGAAACACATTTACGTATTACATTACAGAATACGCCGAATGGTTTCGCCACAGCATGGGTCACTCCTTCCTTTTCCGTGGGTGTGGTAAGAGGCAATTAAGGGAACTTACTAGTCGGGGGATAGGTAGCGACGTTTCTTTCACCAAAAATCACCAAAGTTTAATTGCGGTTGCCAAACCGCTTGCCAAGCCTGGTAACTACTGGCAAAACCTCTCTAATTAGGAGAGACTTATGTTCAGTAATGAACAACCGGTGATATGATAATGACGATACAAAATTTAATTAAAATCGGTTGAGCGATTTCAGAGATTACCAAGAATTATATATTAAAATTATGTTCCAATTATTCGACAAATTACTACTGTAAACACAATATAGTATTTTTTTATATTAGATTTTAACACCAAAAGATTATTATTGAACAATATCAAAGCTTATTACTGAACTAAAAAGTGTTAAATGCAATTGAAATCCCAATTAAAAATTTTATTTTTAAATATTCACTGAACAAAAGTTACATTACTTTTCAGCCATTTTTATATATTTTTTTTCTGAAAGATTTGAAACGGCCTGTATATTGCTGTAACGTAATTGGGACGAATATTATTCGCCACTTGATTTTATAGCAATGAGGTTTTCAGTTCATATATTTTTTACGATCACTTCAGCCTAATAGGATTTTTATTTTATGGCAGATTGACAAAACTTTTTCCTGAAAATGTGTGTCATGCAAGCTTTTTTTTTAATAAGAATTAAACAGAGTGATGTTTTGGAAAAGGAAAAAATGAAATTAAAATAATTCTGTAATCGTAAACGTTTCTTTGTATTATATATGATTTCATATTTACTTAATATACTACACAAATGGAAGTGAATTCAATGAACTGCATGGATGTAAAAGAATTTGTAAAATGTGAAAGAATGAGAAGGGAAGTTGGAATATTCTACTCAGAATTTTAATATTTCTGTTAAGTGGACTTCAGATTTCTTTGTGAAATATGAACTATTGTTATAATGAATAACAAAGTTATTAAGAAAAAGTTACGGACAGTTCCCTTGTAATTAAGAAACAGAATAAATATTATAACTGTACGTTAATGAAAAATAACTCTCATTCGTCGGGATGCAAATTTACAGAAATCTTTGAATTTATAATATTATATTAATTTGCAATTGCAAAGTGTATTATTTCTTTCTTGTAACTTTGGAAACAGATTAGCAACCAGTTGCCAAGAAAAATAAATATCTTGTAAGGTTGTTTGTATAAGAAGATTTTCTACTTTTGTATTACAATTATCATTGTATTTTGTTATAATATTATTAGATATATATTTTATTTAACAAATATCTATTATCATCATTTATGGCCTATGGTATCCCACTGCTGAAAAAAGTCCATTCCTTGCTGCTTTTATCTTTCACAATCACTAGCCAAGGCGCACCACTTCTTCTGGAGCAATCGGAATCATATTTCCATCAAATACGAGATTCTGCCACCTCTTTTTGGATTTATACAAAGCCAAAATATACAGTTTTGTCATATCTATCAGCTGGCGACTTACATATCTAGTCCTAATATTATTATTTTTATATATAGCCTTATTTTATTGTTGTATATATTATTGTCGCCTTTTATGCTATAAAATTATTTTCCGAATTCAACTACGCTTCATTCAGCAAATTGTTAAATTTCATAAGTACTATTACCGGATTTATACGTAATATACCTACTTATTATGATTGTATATGAAAGTGTCTAATTATTTTAAGTATTTAATTTTAATGTTTGATATCAATTAAAAGTTTTGCGTAATTGTATTTACACGTTGTATAATAAATTAAGCTTGATCCACTCAAGAAACAATATCTTACAATTCCCAAACAGCCATCCTTATTGAGGAAAATGCCCCAAGGCATTCTCTAAATAATCCTCAATTTACGCCAATACCGATTAGATGTAAAAGTCTTTTGAAATACCAAGAGGTTTATGCAGAGCTTTAGAGTGGATATCTACAGACTGGATAAAGATTCTATAGACCAATATGGATGTATAAAGAATCCTATATATAACATTTTAAAATATTTAAATAAACTTAAAATTTACATTTAATATAGTTAGTCTTGCACTTTATAAACTTTAGTAAGTTCTGGATATTTAGGTAGTATTACATATAGTGATGTCTCGAATCGTTAAAAATGTATATTCGCAGACACTGATATCAATACGGATCATTAATATAATTCACAAATATGACCTCTAATTTTTACAATTTAAGATATTTTAATTATTGTAGTACCTCTAAGGTATTATCATAATAATTATAAGTGTCACATAATTAATTGCCTGGTCCTTAAGCTAGCATAACCTCTGTAATGAGAAATCAGGCAACGAACATGTGGGTAAATTGAATATTTAACAACTAACTTGTAACTATATTCAAAATTTAAATATTAAATTTTTGCAATACAAGTATATCAAATACCTATGCGATTTTAATAAATAAAAACAATAATTTATATGAAATTTAATAGTATTTCAATGTAACCTATATTTAGAATTTCATGTATGTAATGAAATTTAATAATGTAAAAGATCTGTTCAAGATCCGTCAAAAAGTAACGGATACGGATGTAGATCTATTTTCCCTCTCGAATATCCCCGGATACGAATATCCGGTACATCACTAGTTACAGCTGCCTTTATTATGGACAAACTTAAAAGCAACAGGTAAATGGTAATGAACAGATTGTGAGCAGAGAAAATCCCAGGCGCACCTAGTAAGATAAATGATAATTTTTCGAATTATTTGCAGTCTTATAATTTTGAAATAGGAATAAGTAATATTTTACTGCAAATGTCTTATAAAAAAGACAAGAGCAATAAAGTGTGTCGTGAGTGACAGACCTGTGGAATAAATCAAGACTCAGACGCAATTATTTTGATGTACTGAACTAATATCTCGAGTTTCTCATCGCGTGGCCAATTTGTAAACAGCGCACCTGTGACTCGTCGTGGATTGACAAACTGTGGCAACAGACGGCAACGTCTCCTACAAAATGGAGGTTAGTCTCTGAAGATAAAGCATATGACATTTTTCATTTGACGTCATGATACAAAAAAAAAAACATATTCCGATACAAAAGTTAATAAACAGTTATATAAATGACTTTCATAATTCACTTTTTATGTTGTGATTTTTTAATGATACTTTATTCCTAGATTATATATGTTATATTATAATACTGTTTAAAATATGCCCGAAGATTTGAATCTGGTTGCATATGTAAATAATAAGAAATATTTTTATTAAGACAGTGGAATACATATTATATAATCGAATTCTATCTACATAGCTATACTTTATTTTTTAGCTCATGGTAGATATATTACCTATAGACATTCTATACTAGTCAATCATCAGGTAAGCATATATCATAGTTATGATAAGACGCATGTTAATATGGAGTTGAATACTTAGCGTAAATATCTAGGCATCTGTCTGTCTAGACATCATACTTTTACAAAATTTTAAAAAATATTTCGATATATTAAAAAACATTTTTAAAGTTAAAAAACTTTAAAAATGTTTTTTAATAGTTTAACTCATTTCTAACTATCCAGTGAAGTTTGTAAACTTGCATAACAAACTGCGCTCTTTTTACAGTGTCGTTTAATTTAAATAGAAAAATAAAGATTTACACACACATGTATTAAGTAGAATATTTGCCATAAATAAGTAAGTAGGTTATACTTGTATTTAAAAAAATATAAGAAAATAAAAAAAAAAAAATGTTATAAATGAGTGCAAAATTTAGTTAAATGATTCTATTACCAACCCGTTTTTTACTGATTACGTATCCAGGGATTTTTCATATATCAATGTTCAACGTACGTATTTAAGCCGCTATACTCATTTATTCCCTTATAATCTACTTTCGAGTTACTGTGGGCGACTAAATTCAATCAAGGTTATCGCATGACATTATTAATATTTTGCCAAAAAAAACTCATTCATTATGTTTACGAATATATACCTATGTTTCTTATCAATTTTTATCAAAAGCGTTCAACAATTATAATATTATTTTAATTAATTATATTTTATTGTACATCTTAATATTTTTTATTGTATCAGCTGTTATTTGCCCACTATTGAACATAGTCTCCCCCATAAGGGGAGGGGGGGGGGGGTTGCCAGTAGTTGCCACACTTGGCAGGCGGACTGACAACCGTCTTTGGTGATGTTTTAAATGAGACGCTGTTGGCCATCCTTCCTACATAATATACCTTAATAATACATATGGAAATATGACAGTGGAAAGCAAATGCACAAAGGTGAACTCTGCAAGAGTTATCTTCCAGCAAACCCAAAGTGTAAAGGAGCATCAATGTCAGCGGGTAGAGCGGCGTACAATACCGAGCCAATTTACAAACAAAACTAACTAGACCAATTTAAATTTATATATAACCAATTGCGTTATAATTATTTCTATATGTACATATATACATTATATAAATTAGTAAGAATTTTGTATATTTTTAAAACGATCTGTGATTAAAAATTTACATTAAAAAAAACTTACCAATAATAACTTCCAATGATGATTTTCTGTAACAAAAAGAATAGTATAATTAATTTGAGTGCATATATATTAGGAGACTTTGTACAAATGTCATTTGCTTGGGTACCTTTATCTCATTCGTGTTTCTACTGTGAAGCAGTTGTGTCTGCATAGCTGTGTTTCGGTTGGAAGGGTGGGATATGACAGAGAATTTACTGAGTAAAGAGGCAGACTCCTCAGGAATGGCAACGCATGGAGGGTATCATGGGCAAAACAATATACTTTGTTATATCCATGGTACTGTTCATGTCTATAGGCGACGGTTATCGCTTTCCATCAGGTGGGTCGTGAATTCGTTTGTCATTCTAAGATGCATAAAAAATATATATTTATAATAAACTGTATAATTGCGTTTACATGCTTTTAATGCTAGAGTCATGGTCACCTTTGCTTATTTCAATACGAAACGTATATGTAGATAATTATAAACGATATATAGATTATCATAAAATTATAATTCATGATTATGAAATATAATAAATTGTTATAAAAGAGCAGTTTCTTTTAACACAAGCAATCTCTACCTAATAGGAGATATCAAACACTGTAATGTAATTATCTTTGTATAAAGAAATAAATAAATTATTAAATAATAAATTAAAATTATAAACGTATATTTAATTAATAGATAAAAAATGGGACAATAACAACATTCTACTTATCCTAAATTTCATAACATTTGGTAGAGCTAATAGCTAAATGGGGTCGGAAAATAAGAAAGAAATAAACTTAATATTATTTTAAGTCAATATTAGAAAGAGGAATTACAAAATTTTATATTATATTTTTTTTTGCAATCGACATTATAAATAAATACACAGAAAACAATAAATATACAATAGCTTATACATATCTGTACAAAGTTATGTGTACTTAACTTGAACTTTCTCAAGAAAATAATAATATCATGAATGTCAAAAGTCAATTGACGTAAAGGTCAGCTGTGTCCAACTTGTTTGGAAGAAATAAACTTCTATATTTATTTAAATAACTTTATTGATCAATAATATGATGGGTGTTTTTATATTACTGTAGCATGGTATAATATCACACAGTTATATCGTCACGATATAATTTGCCACATCGATATTGTGAACATATCGGCAAGACGATATTGTAACCATGCATGCAGAACGATTGTTGCATGCATGGTTATATTATCGTTGATTGCTTACATTTTGCTTTTCTATTATATCGTGACGGTAACATGGCATGGAATGATATCATATATCGTTCCATGCTACAATAATTTATAAAACCGCTCAGAGGTATAAAATATATATAATATACTTAAGGCTAGTAGTATAGGCATTTTGATTTAAAATTTTTGTTTCAAAAAAGAGTAGAACAATATTGTTATTATATTAACTGTTATATTATATTATAATAACCGGTGGTATAAACAGATAGAAAGATAGCTATTCGTATTATGTAAAGTTAAGACAGGGAAAGAGAGAAGGCTGCTTTTTAGTAACAGCGATTTTTGTCCAGCTTCAATTTAACTTTCAACTTTGTGTCCCCAGAAAACCTGATGGCCAAATATGGAAGGAAGCATTTCATAAAATGCTTTCTGGGGATATCAATTTTTTTGATTCGAAACCAAAATAATTCACCGAAATTAGATAGAAATAGCATTGGTTGAGTTAGAATACGCAACCTAGAATATTTTTATACCTTCAGGTAAAAATAACAGTTTGTACATACTCATAATAATTATTGGTAAGAGTATAACAAGGTGGCCTTGTTACTAATAGCAATCTTTTCAAGGTAACCTGTGATTAATGAAACGGTCTTCTGTCGAGGTACACATAACACCTGTGCTATTTATCTTAAAAATTATTAGTTTTTTTTTTTATTTTTTATTTTTCTATACTTACAACACGAGTACATCTCGATTCTATATCTAATTTAAAGTTTGAAGTTATGAAATACAGCTACTTAAGTGAGATACAGGTCCAATAAAAGATTGCATTAAACCTGTATCAATTGCTATTTTGGCTACAGCAAAAACTTGTTTATGCCTTTATTAAATTCTCTATTACATTAGGAGAGAAATAAGAATCCTAAGAGGGAATTTAAAAACTTGATGATGCGACAAAGATAAAAGCTAGGAGCTGACACAGATAATGTATGGAGAAGGTAAATGGGGTAATTTACGTTACATTAAAAGTAGAAACAAAAAATTAAATTGCTTTTTTTGAGATCGAGGTTGATGCTATCAATATAATATAACACACCCCTTATACTGATACCGGACTTATGGGTAGAGGGAATAAATAGAAGTCATTTACATAAATAAATCGAAGTTGTATTTCCCTATGGGATAGCAGACGAAAAGGATTGAAGTCTATTTGTTTTGTTGAAAACAGATTTATCTATGTATTAATAGAATTAGTTATGTAATGAAAAATATATTAATATACGCTAATCTGTTTGCAGTAATTATTATTACAAAACAACCGTTGAATATGTCAATTTATAACCTTCTATAAAATTCGATTATTAATATAGTCGTTATCGTCATTTTGAAAATTGCAATATACGTAGTAGAGTTTACTTAATTTATGGTAATGCAAGTATTAATTCGAAATTTCAAAAAGTGAATGTAATAAATTAAAAATCACACAATATTTTAATTTAATTTAATTTCGCTGTTTATGGATGTGACAGGTCGAACAATAAAACAGTGGACGTTACGTAAACTATATATTAAACTGATAAAAAAATATGCCAAATACAAATATGTCTATAAAAAAGGGCGGCTGGCCAAATTGCCAATAACAATGGCAATCATGTTTATCTTATACAGTTGTCATATAGTATATTTTTAAAGGATTTTATACCTTATTAAGCAACACCTAATTTAATAAAACCATTAGAATTTTTAGCTAACAAGGTGTTAGGTGTAGGGTGTAACAAGGTGTCTTAGATGTCGGCAAAGCGTGCGTGATATCCCTGGTGTTACACGAGTCAATAGGTTACGGTAATCACGCTTACTGTTAGACATATCCATATACTGTTGATCGTATACTTGTTTGCTACCATAGTAGTATAAAAAAAGAATTTTTCGCTAATCTTATTTAAGATTTACCCATATATATGTATATATATATATATACATGTGTACTTCCAAAAGACAATCTTTTTTTTCCCTCAATAAATGGGTAATATACAACTGTTAAAGGTTAATTTTGTACCTTACAATTCTAATTTTAAAATTTTTCACTTTATTTCTAAGGATTAAAATTCTTAGGCAAAAATCCCGATGTGCAGAGTGATTGACATCGAGAGTATCCTTTAAAGGAAGTGTTTCATAAATAAATCTGAATATTTTAATAAAAAAAAAAAAAAACAGAAATAAGGATCTTAAAATAATATTAAGAAATTAGTGTTAGAAGACTCAGAATTTTTAGCGTTTTTGAGTTTTTGACTCATTAGATTTCTATTCTAAAATATTCTATAGTATGGATTTTTAGTTTTACGTACCATAAACATATCAATTTCAGTCTGTATAAATATATCATATTAGTCGTTAACTGCCCATTGCTGAACATTCATCTTTCCCTGGGGGTGTTTTTATTAGTAATTACCACGCTTGGCAGGTGGGTTAACAATCTCAGTTAGGCTTTATTGATATTTCAAGAAGCTGCTACCTATCTCTCTACCATTACATTCTATTTATTCCTTTTTTATGCCACTTATGGAACAGGAAGGGGTGGCCCATTCTAAATCGCGACAACGGGATTTTATTTATATTACTGTATTTATCTATTTACTTCTATAAGACACAATCTATTCTGGTTACCTGACAACCACGTAAAATATAACTGTTAAAGCTCTATTTTGCAGTTTAAAATAGAAAGAAGTGGAGTGAGAGAACAGAGGGTTTATATATGCAGTGAGATATAAATAGATTCTTGTGCTCGCAATCTGTCGAGAAGCGGCTTAGTGCATTCAGCAAGGGGACGTGATTCACCGGCCTGCTTCCTTCTCTCAACTTATAATTTATTCCCAATGATAGTTAATTTTAGATAAATTTAAATCAGCTAATCGTATTTTGTTCTTATTCAATTCAATTCAATCCAAATTTCTGGATCTCATTTGAGCTCATTTGTAGAATTTGCAGTCAGCTAATGGAGTAAGTAATTAAAAGGGCTTCTATTAGGTATATATTTAATGATAAGAACTAGGGAATATAAGGTTTGTAAAATGTATATTCCCTATAAAGTTATAAAATTATTGAAATACCTTATGGTTACAATATATAATTCCCCTTATTTACTTCTTGAGAATGTATAAGAGCACAATTTATCGATTTACATATTGCAAAATAACTAATACATATACAGAATATGTTATAGAGCAAGTAAATAATATAAAACAAAAATACAGCCGCGACTATTTTTTTATTCTAAACCATACAAAAGATTTTAATATCGTTTTTGACTGTTATTTTAATGTAACAAAAGGTTTTCACATGCAATATATTCGATACACATTAACGAAACTTTTGTAAAAGTGGATAATAGTATCAAACCGAAGCTAGGACTGGTCACTAGTAATCCTTGCTCGTATTATAAATATGACAGTGTGTTTGTTCCTTTGTTACCTTTTGGCATCTTAATAGGTTAATCAAATGCTATGAAATTATGTACGTACTACATGGGATGGAGAAGAATGTAGGTTTAGATTATACAGATAGAGCATCGACTCTCAAAAACTCGCTTTTTTTATCAGTGTTGTATATACTTGCGCACACAATGTATCTTGACGTATCTGTATTTCATTATTTAATACATAAAAAGAATTTTTACGCATTAAAAATATGAAAAAATAAATAATAAATATATAAATATGGAAATAAATATGGAAGTTATGAATGAAACAGTCATAACTATTTATCGCGCAAACTTGTATGAATAAGCTGACCTGCTTTTCTCGAAGCATTTGTTTAATTTCATTTATTTATTTTGTGATACATAGGTAA